CATTACTTGTTTTTGCTATACAATCTTTTGCGCCATTTCCTAATTACATGTTTCTATACCCATTTAGGCTTTAGTTATTTTAAACTTTGTGTCAATCACTTCTACACCTATATAAGCTCATATTAAACAATCTGAATTTTTTTATATGATTGGGATTGTTTGTCTTATTTTTGGTTGAATTTGGATTGAAGGTTTGCCGAGCATGATAGCAATAGGGACTTCAACATGCAATGGTTTCATGACAAAATGAAATCTGCCCAAAAGGTTGAAGACTTTGGAGTGAATCTTGTTTTAGCCTCTTGTGATGATAAAGAAGCCTTGAGAAGTAAGTTGATGATGCCACTTATGATTATAAAGATGCCTTCCAAAAATGATATTGATTTTTCCTTTTAGTCTTTTTGTTTGTGATTCTCGCCTTCTTGATGTAAAAGCAGTTGTGATTTATTATGTTCTGTAGTCATTGGGAAGTCAGCTTTTATGTCACATATATATGATGCTAAATCTTTTAAAATGTTGTGGAATTTTTTGGAGGTTGGAAAATGACTGCACTGATGGAGAATGCATATGCTTCATTTTATCTCATTTCCCCTTTTCCTGAACTCTGATCTCCCCATGTTGCTTATTGTTTGATTTCTTTGGAGAACATGCATATGCTTCATTTTATCTCACTGCTTTGAAGTTCAAAAATGTCAGCTTCTCTCTTATAGTTTTCAGTTGGATTGTTGCCACATGTTGAATAAGCTTGCTATACTCTTATTTTTTAGCTTCTTTTATTTGTGGTTTGCTCAATATCATTCCAGGCATGTACAAGCAAGAGTTTATTTTCTGTGCGCAAGTGAAGGAGAGGTTGCGTAGTTCAAATGATTACCAGGCATTCTTGAAGTGTCTTTATATTTACAGCACAGAGATAATCACAAAAAAATATTTACAAAGTTTGGTATGTGAGATCCTTGCTATCTATCCTGGTGGCAATTTTATTCTTTTGCATCTATAGAACTACTAACTGTTCCATTTACAAACAAGAACTTGGTTAACAACCCTTATTGAATTTGCACTATTGATTTCATATGGTGTTCAGTTGTAAATTTTTAGGTCGATGTTTTCAGTGTTTTCACTAGGAATGCAGTGTTGTTATCATGGCTTTTCAACACTTAATGTTAGACTCATTTTTTAAACATAATGATATGACACTTTATTAAAATATCTAAATTAATTTTCTCTTATTTATTCTCAAATCATCAATCAATCATCTTACTTACACATCACTGGACATAAAAAGTAGATCTAAAAAGTAGATTTGTATATCATTTTTCTTAGACATTCTTGAAACATCAAATGTGTTTTAGTAAAAATTTAAGTGAATGTAGTAATGTTCTCATATTTTTGTCATGTAAATGCCAATTCTTGATTAACCTCTCAGCCAACACTACAATAAATTAAGGTTTTAGAGGAGGGAAAAATGAAAAATAGCCACCGAACCACTACAAGGACGTCAGAACCAGTTTCCTTACGTCAAATAGGACTTGTGATGACAGACGGAATGTCATTAGCACTTGTAGGTTGAGAGTTAGAGCTGAAAACGGCTTAAACTTAACCGAAAAAAAACGTTAAGGGGCCAAAATACAAAACAACCCTCGAATCACCGAACGGACGTCACAACCAATTTTATCACTTCAAATAGGGCCTGTGACAACAGAAGAAATGTCATTAGTACGTGTAGATTGGGAGTTAGAGTTGGAAACAACTGAAACTTAACTGAAAAAGGGCGTTAAGGGGGCGAAAATGCAAAACACCCCTGAACCACTGTACGAACGTCACAACCAATTTCCTCATGTCAAATAGGACCTGTGACAAGAGACGGAATGTCATTAGCATGTGTAGGTTGGGAGTTAGAGCCGAAAACGGCCTAAACTTAACCGAAAAAGGGCGTTAAGGGGGTGAAAATGCAAAACAGCCCTCGAATCACCGTACGGATGTTACAACCAGTTTTCTCACGTCAAATAGGACCTGTCACATCAGACGGAATGTCGTTAGCACGTGTCAGCTGGGAGTTAGAGCCGAAAATGGCTTAAACTTAACCGAAAAAGGGCATTAAGGGGGGCGAAAATGCAAAATAGCCCCCGAACCACCGTATGAACATCACAACCAGTTTTCTCATGTGAAATAGGACCTGTGACAACAGACGGAATGTCATTAGCATGTGTAGGTTGGGAGTTAGAGCCGAAAACATCTTAAACTTAACTGAAAAAAGGGCATTAAGGGGGTGAAAATGCAAAACAGCCCTCGAATCACTGTATGGACGTCCCAACTAGTTCTCACATCAAATAAGACCTGTGATAGTAGATGAAATGTCATTAACACGTGTAGGTTGGGAGTTAGAATTGGAAACGGCTTAAACTTAATCGAATTGAAAAAGGGCGTTTCGGGGGTGAAACTTCAAAACTGCCCCCGAACCTCCGTCTGACTCTCACGGGCAGCTTCCCCATTACAAATAGGACTTGTGACAACTGACGGAATGTATTGGAGATGTATAGTAATGGAAAATTATGGGAAAAATATTCAGAAACCAATATGAACTCAGTTTACGCCTTGTTTTAAACTTGCTAATTTTTTGAACGTACATGTTGCATACAAATAGAAGATTGTTACATTAACTTTATGTTACTAATGAAAGATTTAGTAAAATTGTTCTGCATTTAACAATGTTCCTTATAACAAAAGACTTTAGAAAGACCGTAGAATGACTGATAATTGATTCATCATAGAAGGTTGCTTCTTACTTATTTTTATTTGTCACTTGTTGCCAAATTCATTCATGAAGTTGGACATGTTTTGGTCTAATTCTAATGTTTTTTTTTTTTTTTTTTTTGTAGATGACTTTGTTGCGTGGACTTCTAGAGATATTTTGGTGTATGGAGAAGAAATTGTACTTTTGTATAGAAGTAATATAATATTTTTGTCATCTTCGGCTTTTGTGCAACTAACTATTACTGATACAGAAAACTTTTGGCAACAAACAGATAATTACTAGCATGGTAGATAGATCACCTTTTGTCGCCGTATAGATATATGATTTTTGTCGTGGTACATAGATGTACTTTTGGCTTGGTACATACATCACCTTTTGTCGTGGTACAGATTACGATGGTAATTTGTACCATGCCAAATGGTCATTTCACATGGTATAGTAAATGTAATTTTTGTATATGGAGGGCTTTACTTTTTGTACGATTCTATATGTTGTATGGAATTATTATTTTAGTTTGGACAATAGTTGGTTTGTTTGTACTTGGACAGTTAAAGTAATTTATTTTTTGTATACGGATGCAGATTGTGGAATTATTTATAGTTTATGTATCATTTTATTTATATACGTGTTACAGGTTGCATGGAATACAGACAGGTTATGGACACATTTTAATATTTGCAATAAAACATAATATCATGTTTTTGCCGACTAAACATTGTGTAGCCAAAAAAAAGGAAAAAAAAAAAAACCAAACATTTGGCTACTAAAAGTTTTGTAGTCAAAAGAAAATCAAACATTTGGCTACTAAATTTTTTTTAGGCAAAAGAAAAACAACCATTTAGCTACTGAATGTTTTGTAGCCAAAAGAAAATCAAACCTTTGGCTACTAAAAGTTTTGTAGCCAAAAGAAAATCAAACATTTGGCGACTAAAATATTTCATAGCTAAAAACAAAAGTTGAAGAATAAAAATACTTTTGGCGACTAAAAATTTAGTAGCTAAACATGTGGGAGTTTAAGCGACTAAATTTTTAGTAGCCAAAATGCGGAAGTTTAGACGACTAAATTTTTAGTAGCTAAAAGAAATAGTATTTGTCGACTAAAATTTTAGTAGCCAAAAAAGATTAACTTTAGGTGACTAAAATTTTAGTAGCCAAAACACGAGTATTTGCTTTAGGCGATTAAAAAATTTAGTAGCTAAAAATTTTTCCGCGACTAAATCATTGGCTTTTGGCGACAAAAAAATTAGTTGGCAAAAATGTATTATTTAATTAATTTTCCAACCTATTGGTGACTAAATATTTAATCGGCAAATGAATACATTTGGCGACTAAATTAAGTTTAGTCGCCAATTAGCTTTCCCGACTACTCTTCAGCTACTAATTTTTCGACCAAAAAATTTAGTCGCTAAAAGGTTATAGGCGACTAAAAAATGACTTTTGGCGACTAAAAATTTAGTCACCAAAAGTGAAAATTCTTGTAGTGTCAAGATTCAAAATTCACCGTTTGCAAATTGTTATGTCATTATGAGTTTTAATATCACTTTTCATTACAACAAATTAATATTTTAGAGATACAAATTTAGGAATAAAATATTTTTATGGTCACAAGTGTCATTATTATATTTGTAATGATGAAATTAAACATTTAGTAATAAATTACTATCCTTTCGGAACTAAAATTTTTGTCTAAAAATGAGACAAGTATATTTATTAGTGACATTTTAAAATTTTATCACTAAAAATCTTTTAACGACCTTTTAATAACTATTCTTACGACAATAAGAATTGATCTCCAAATATTTTTTTATAACAAAATTTTCATTTTTGAACAAAAAACATTAATTCTTAAAACTCTTATTTGCTGTAGTGATTTTGTTGTTTTAGAATTTAAAATATTTATTTACTAACTGGACTTTCCAAAATCATTAATCATGTGATGATGGGATTCCCATTTTTTGCCTGTAACTAAGGTTGTAAAATTAATCAAAACTATTTCTAGCTTGGCAGCTCAACTTGTCAAAAGTTCATTTGAGATTGACGCGTTAGGTAAATAAGTCAAACTTAAATATATTTTAATACTCATTAAGTTTTCAAACTAATGCTAAGTGATTTTTTGGCAAGTTGGGTTAAAAGCTACCTTTGTAGCTTGGGGGCTAAAAAAGCTAGAAGGTGTTTTTAGCTATGGAGTCATTTGACAAGTTTAAAAAAGTTACATATAAAATTACAATTATACCCTTTTTATTATTTAGGGTTATACATAGGTGAAGATGTAAATTTTCTAGATTGGGTGGGGTAGTTTGGTCATTTTATTGTGATGTGACATCATAAATAAATATTAACCAAAAAATTCAAAAGTAACTTTTAACCATCTTCCCAAATCACTTTCTAAAAAAGTCAAAAAAATTGGTAAAAAGTCAAGAGTCAGTTTTTTACCATTTTCTCAAAACACCCCTAAATAACATACTACTCAGTTATACTCGGTTATAAAAATTATGAAAAACTAACCTACTCGAGTTCAACTCGTGATCAACTTAAAAGTTAAATAAGTTAAATCTGAACACATTTCAAAATTCATTAAATTTGGATATCAAATTTAAACCACTTACACTTAATTCATTTTCAATTATTTCAATTATACTTGTAATGGAGAGAATCTGAATAATGAGAAGAGCATGCTTGGGCTAATGACAATTTGAACGAGTTAAAAGCATATAAAATGCATATTATTGGCCTTCATTATTGTTAGCTTTTTAAAGGTATTATATAGAACTTGTCAAGTTCAATCAGAGATGAGGAAATTCATTGATCAATTATTCATATCGACTTTTAATCTTTGACTTTACGTTCTATATAACCAGACAATTAAAATCTAAACAATTGAAAGTACATATTTCTCAATCCATTTCCTTAACAAATAATGTGTCTTAATATTAGTGCAAGATCAGTAAAAATTGTCCCACTCACGGAAACCTTTTTGACCCATGCATACATAATTAGAGTCCATTTTAAAGGTGCATGGGAATGCAATTAGGTCATTACTTGGAAAGGACGTAAAATAAATATTTATAAAAAAAAGAATTATTTATGATGATGTGGTAGTGATATTTTTAAAGGGTAAGTTACACTGACTTAGTCTAAGGTTTGAAAAAAAAAATACAATAGCACCATAATTTTCGCATAATTACACTAATTTCTCTTTTAGTAAAATTAAAGTAACTGAAACTAATATAAATAGTGCAAAGACACAAGAATAAATAAGAAAAAAATACATACATTTAGAACAAAGAGATGACAAACATCATTTTCCTATTCATATAACTAACGAATTATTAGAAGAAAAAAAAATGAATTAGGTATTATTTGAATTAAAAGGGAGCCCAATATAATTTGAAAAATCTAAAAATCCGCTAGATATTGATTTGTGATTATGTATCAATTTAAAGCAATAAAACAATCCCAATCAAACAATCAAGACAAATCGACGCAACGATTTTAACGTGGAAAAATCACAATTGGAGCACCTCCAATTGTGATAAAAAAATCACGGGCAACAGCCACAAAACAATCCACTAAGAAGATATAAAGGAATTACACAGGTATACTCTCAATTACCTAGCTAATCCACGTCTGAATTGAACCAACCCCTATGTGCCTCTTCCAATCCCGTCTTCACCTCGGAATTGTCTTAACGATGAGCCACTCCAGAATCCACCAAAACTTCAAGCTCGAATTCTTCAAAATCCACCGAAGAACAACTCTCTCTTTTGTGTAGAACAAACAAATAATCCTTTGATATATACTCTTTAAACCATGAGTTGAATACTCAATCAAAACATCAAAGAAAACTAGCAAAATATCACCAGATATAAACCTTAATATCCAAGAAGTAGATCTGAGGGAGTAATCCTAGTTTTGGACTGAAACAAATACCTATAGAAATCTGGGACTGCGAAGCTCGCTTGAGCAAAGACTCTCTCGCTCGAGCGAGGAACCAAAAACACGTGTTTTCCATAAGTGGCTTCGCTCGAGCCACGCACCCTTCGTTCGAGCGTACATTCATCTATTTTAGGTTTTTACACAGACGCAGCCTTCGCTAGAGCAAGCACTCCTTCGCTCGAGCAAGCAAGGGCGGACAGGCAACTTTGAATGCAATTTTGCATTTTGCTTCGGGGGCGCTGCCCCTCGACCCTGCCTGGGCGTTGCCCTGGACCCGTCAAGGGGCGCTGCTCCCTGGACCCCCGCGAGCTGACCGGGCAGCTCGATCCTCGTCATTATTAGCGAAGTGGTAATCTTGAAAGTATTAACAGCACAACCTTCTCTGCACGGCACAATTCGAGTTGGATTCGCATCTAATAAACTCATAGCCTCACTGAAATAAAAGTGCGAAAGCAAGTACAACTGAAAGGAATTTTGTCAAACGGGATTGCCAAGAATAAAAACCTAACATAATTATATCAGAATTGTGGGATTTATTGTGTTTTTTTCAAATCTCAGGGGAGATTAGTGTACTTTACAGTTTTTTGAATTATGAGCTAAATTGATAATTGTTTTAGCTTGAAATGAACAGGCAATAGAAAGACATCGTTTTGAATAAAAATTCTACTTGTATAAAATTATCTTAGAGAAAAAAAAGTGAAATTATGGACAAGTGCTATCTTCTCAAAAGAAATTTTCACTTCATGGTTGAATTAATCAACTTGCCTAAACAAAGAAATGGGCTACTAATTGATCAATGTCTCTGTCAAGCAAAATCCCAACTTATTTTTCTTTCCTCCATAAAAGTTGAAGCAAACTTTAGGCTTAAAGAAGTCATTGATAATGAGCCACTGAGTCTAATCATGCTTAAAATAGTCATTCATGTGTCAACTTTATGAAGAAAACAAATTATATTTAACTCAATTAAAAATGCCTTATTGGAAAATTTATTATAATTTATTTCTTTAAAAATTTGAAATTTCATGCTTAAGCAGTTTTACTTTGGAAAGATAGTGTTGTTTTTTAGGAAAGATTGGAAAGATAGTGTTGGAAAAACTTTTCTTCATCTTCTTTTGGTTTAATTTTTGAAAAATGTTTTCGAATTTTTCGTTTTTGTGTTTTTGTCTTTTATGAATAATTTCAATATTTCAATTGATTTTTTTTTTTTGTCTTTTAGATACAGCTAATCTAAATGCAATTAAAATTTAAAATATTTATGAAGAAATCTGCCCAAAAAAAAAAAAAAATTTGTACCAGGCTTTTGTATATATATTTTTTGTATTTAGTTTTTATATTTTTATAGATTTATTCACAAATATTTTACTTTTTAAGTGCATATAGATTACATGGATCTTAAAAGTGAAAAAATTAATTAAATATGATAAAATTTTACTAAAAGTGAAAAAAAATATAAGAAAAAAAAACTCAAAAACAAATTTTTGAGTTTCAAAACCAAACAGAGGTTGGATTTGAGACAATTTTTTAGCTAGTTTTGTTGAACGTTCAAATAAATTTTGCTGATTGACAACAACTACTTAAAATCCGATTTTCGCCTAAAAAATCCAAAAAACCTAAAACATTTTTCTGACACCTATTTTTATTTATTTT